ACCAGAGATGGGCAACATGGTGGCCTCTAAGTGATGTCAGACTCTAACACTCAACCATCCCTGGTGGTCAAAGGCCAGTGATGATGGGAACTTCCAGAGGGCGCCATATTGGTGGTCCTTGTTTTGCATGTTAACTCAGAAATATGTCACACTAGGCAATAACCTATTGATGTCCTTGCAGCAAAGGAAGGGCTTTTCATCCAGTGGGAGGGCTTTCTTCATGGAAAAGGGGATTTTTTGTTGGCCAGTTTCTCCTGCTTCTGAGAGCCCCCAGCAGCTCCAGGAAATTTGTTTTGTAGGGTTCTCAGTGATCAAGTCAGTGTCCGGCACTAGGCCAGTTGGCAGACCAACTCTATGTTACAAAGATTTCTGCACATGTGCCGTGAAGGCTGGCAACATCAACGCTCCCATATGTGGGAAACCCTTGCAGATGATCACAGCACCTGGAGACAGGCAGATGAGTTGTGTATCCATAGCAGTGACCAGAGGACAAACGACCGCTGGGATGAGCGAACAGAGAAGAAATGCCTTGGTGCATCTGCACCTGCAACAGCACAACTGGACACCTTCATTTGCCCCAGCTGCAACAAAACATGTCTCTCCAGCATCAGTCTCTACAGCCACGGCAGGCACTGCAAACTTCCAACAGCTTGACCTCACCCCCAAAAGCACACTCCTCCTTTGTCTCCCAAGACAGACAGATGCCAGCACAGGGTTCCCAATGGTCCAGAAATTGTATATCACCCGTCATGTTAAATGGGGCATACTCCCATGTAAGTTCGCAAAGAAAGTAGCAGTCACAACTGGCTTTAGCTAGTTTGAGGCTTCCACAGATGCATTGCCAGGGGACTCTGAGAAACCATAATACAACCATGGAAAATATATATGTATGCAAATTATAATCCTTCAAATATACTCAATTGAAAGCAGCATATTCATTATTATTTTCAAATTTTGTGATTTTATAAACCCTTAACATTTAAAACTGTTCTGTTTTTCCAGTCACGGCTTAGGGAAAATATTTCCCAAATATCAGAAAGGAATAGAAGGGACGTGCACCACCTGTAGTTTGGAATACATCACCTTTACAAAAAGGGATAGGTAGATCTTAATTGCATGCAAGCAAGGTAAACATCAGAGGCACAGGATGCTTTCAGTATTTATTGAACTGCTGCTTCAAATACCTATAAAGGATGCTCAAGATATGGGGCACCACGGAGGTGAGAACTGCAATTCCAAAGCATAGTAGCTTGTGGTACCCAGTTTAGAGAAATAGTAAAATGTACTGGCACTTGTCTCAAAGACGTAAGCCAGCTTTCCCCAGTCTGGTGCCCTTCCATCCTTCCTGACCATAAGCTATGCTGATTCAGGGAGGTGAAGAATAAAACACCTGACACCAGGGTAGGAAAGGCTGCCTTAAGCAATTAAGACACCACACACCCAAGGGACCTGTCTTTTTCCTGTACATGATGTTCTTAACATGGTCTGAGGCGGCACAACTATACCCAGGGATACTGAAGCTTTGGCCCTCTGAAAGTTGTTGGATCCAAACTCCCAGCATCCCTGACCATTGCCCATCCTGGCTGGGACTGATAGGAGTTGGAGTATAGCAGCATCAGGAGGACACCACATTCCATAACCCTACTATATGGCCACTTACCAGAGAACTTAAAGGTAAAGGGACCCTGACCATTAGGTCCAGTCATGGCCGACTCTGGGGTTGCGGCGCTCATCTCGCTTTATTGGCCGAGGGAGCCGGCGTACAGCTTCCGGGTCATGTGGCCAGCATGACTAAGCCGCTTCTGGCGAACCAGAGCAGCGCACGGAAACGCCGTTTACCTTCCTGCTGGAGCGGTACCTATTTATCTACTTGCACTTTGACAAGCTTTCGAACTGCTAGGTTGGCAGGAGCAGGGACCGAGCAACGGGAGCTCACCCCGTTGCGGGGATTCGAACCGCCGACCTTCTGATCAAGTCGTAGGCTCTGTGGTTTAACCCACAGTGCCACCCGCGTCCCGCGACCAGAGAACTTAGTGGGGGTGATTTGTAAGTAGACACATGCAGGATTGCACTGTTAGTGCCTTCTCAATCACACCATAATGAGCTTAGAACAGAGATGTCTGGGTAATACATTGATCTATCAATCTTCCTTTCTGGAGGTTTAGATCACTCATATAGAAGAGAGGGAACATAAGTACCTAGAACTGTGTTGGATCTTCTCAAATGTCAAGGTGGGTTTTATTCCTCCCTCCTTTGTTCTGAAACCGGCATATTTGATGTACTGCAATGAGTTACTGTGATAGCCACATAGAGGTAAGCTGGTAGCCACAGTTAAACAAATGGCAGATTGCTTAATTTCAATGACCCATTTGTTCCTAATAACAGGTGCTAACCAGTGGCACAGTGGGGGGGGGAGGCCCCACAGGTGCGCTTGCCCTGGGTGCAAAATTTCAACACCCGGTATTGCCTCAGTACAGTTGTGTGCTTCCATCGCTGAGCTCCATTGAAAACAGCTTCTCCATGCAAACCAGGAAGTGTCTACTCCAGACAACGTAATGACTCCTCTTTTATTATCTCTACAGCTGTGATCTCTTGGGTGACGTGGATGCCATTGGGCAGTTGAATGTGCATGTGTACTCCATCTGTTTCCCTCCCACCCACCCAGCCTTCCGCATGGCCCTGGGCACTGGCAACCCACACTACCCCACTGGTGCTACCCAACCTGAACGTTCAGGATAGCAACTCAAATATGAATACAAGCTCTCACATGTGTGTGTGAGAGAGAGAGCTTTAATGTTATTCAGTAAAAAGTGTCCTCGCTTCCATCTTTGTCAGGAGCAAGATCCCAGTCCCAGCTAAGGCAAGACTGGGGAACCTGTCACCCTCCAAATGTTGTTCAACTCCCATCAGTCCCAGCCAGCACAATGGTCAGGATTGCTGGGATTTGTAGTCTTCACAACATTCAAAGGGCCATGGACTAAGGGACATCCCTGAGCTAAGGGACACTTCTGCAAGGGAATTCTCAGGGTGGTGATACCCTACATGTAAGTGACCTAAAATATATATTCTAGAATAATTAATAAAAGAGGTAAATGTTTATGTTAAGGCCATGGAGCATTAGGGCATATCCAGGAGTTTTCTCTTGTTTTGAGTGACCCAGGATTGTCTTTTGAATTGGAAATATTTCCCAGTCTGAAGGGTGTTGGTCTTCTAACTGACAGTATGTCTTAGATAAAAGTTAGTCAAGCTTACACAGAGCTCCCTTAGAGTCTCTGGCAGATGTGATCTCAGAACCACTGGCAGTCATCTTTGAGAATTCCTGGAGAACAGGCGAAGTCCCGGCAGACTGGAGGAGGGCAAATGTTGTCCCTATTTTCAAAAAGGGGAAAAGAGAGGACCCAAATAATTACCGCCCAGTCAGTCTGACATCAATACCAGGGAAGATTCTGGAGCAGATCATTAAGCAAACAGTCTGTGAGCACCTAGAAAGGAATGCTGTGATCACCAATAGTCAGCATGGATTTCTGAAAAATAAGTCATGTCAGACTAACCTGATCTTGTTTTTTGACAGAATTACAAGCCTGGTAGATGAAGGGAACACAGTGGATGTAGCCTACCTTGATCTCAACAAGGCATTTGACAAGGTGCCCCATTATATTCTTGTAAAGAAGCTGGTAAAATGCGGTCTTGACTATGCTACCACTCAGTGGATTTGTAACTGGCTGACTGACCGAACCCAAAGGGTGCTCATCAATGGATCCTCTTCATCCTGGAGAAGAGTGACTAGTGGGGTGCCACAGGGTTCTGTCTTGGGCCCGGTCTTATTCAACATCTTTATCAACAACTTGATGATGGACTCAAGGGCAGCCTGATCAAATGTGCAGATGACACCAAACTGGGAGGGGTGGCTAACACCCCAGAGGACAGGATCACACTTCAAAATGACCTTGACAGATTAGAGAACTGGGCAAAAACAAACAAGATGAATTTTAACAGGGAGAAATGTAAAGTATTGCACTTGGGCAAAAAAAAATGAGAGGCACAAATACAAGATGGGTGATACCTGGCTTGAGAGCAGTACATGTGAAAAGGATCTAGGAGTCTTGGTTGACCACAAACTTGACATGAGCCAACAGTGTGACGCGGCAGCTAAAAAAGCCAATGCAATTCTGGGCTGCATCAATAGGAGTATAGCATCTAGATCAAGGGAAGTAATAGTGCCACTGTATTCTGCTCTGGTCAGACCTCACCTGGAGTACTGTGTCCAGTTCTGGGCACCACAGTTCAAGAAGGACACTGACAAACTGGAACGTGTCCAGAGGAGGGCAACCAAAATGGTCAAAGGCCTGGAAACGATGCCTTATGAGGAACGGCTAAGGGAGCTGGGCATGTTTAGCTTGGAGAAGAGGAGGTTAAGGGGTGATATGATAGCCATGTTCAAATATATAAAAGGATGTCACATAGAGGAGGGAGAAAGGTTGTTTTCTGCTGCTCCAGAGAAGCGGACACGGAGCAATGGATCCAAACTACAAGAAAGAAGATTCCATCTAAACATTAGGAAGAACTTCCTGACAGTAAGAGCTGTTCGACAGTGGAATTTGCTGCCAAGGAGTGTGGTGGAGTCTCCTTCTTTGGAGGTCTTTAAGCAGAGGCTTGACAACCATATGTCAGGAGTGCTCTGATGGTGTTTCCTGCTTGGCAGGGGGTTGGACTCGATGGCCCTTGTGGTCTCTTCCAACTCTATGATTCTATGAGTCAGGACTTTGAGACTACTCCAGTGAGATGGTCCAAATATCACTTCTAGTTTATGATATAAACATTCCTGGTTTGTACTGGCATAGGAAACCATTTCTCCCCCTGACCCCCTAACCATCAGATGTAATTACAAAAATGTATATACACTGTACAAGCAAGAAAGTCCTAAAACAGCTGCAGATGTTTTTGCCAGATAGGGCTTGAATATCATGGCTCTTTTGGCAAAACCAAATGGCTGAGGTAGTTTATAGCAGGTCCTGCTTAACACCATTGTTGTTGGAAACCTGTTCAAGGTTCTCCATCATCAAAACCTGCGTCTTGTCCATCCAGTTCCCTTTCTGAGTTGACTTCCCCATCATTGCTGATGTAAGGCTATGCTCCGGCTCCTGCGGATCAGCTGCTGGCAAAATGGCATTGCTCTGTCCACGCTGGGAGTAGGTTTCCCTGGGCATCCCATCCCCAGAGCAGAGCTGAAGCCGGAAAACTGCCTGGAAGCCTCGCCGGAAGTTCTCGTTGAAAAAGCCATAGATGATAGGGTTGATGCTACTGTTGAAGAAGGCCAGCCAGTGAGCGAATGGGTAGATGTAGATGTTGATGACCTGCAGCTGTTCCTCGTTCAGGTCAGCGTAGTCGGAAAGCATCGCCAAGGTCCACAAGGGCAGCCAGGAGAGAATGAAAAGCAACGCCACAATGATGAGCATCTTGATGACCTTCAGCTTCTTCCTGCAGACAGAGTGGCGCTCCTGGCCCTGCTTCCCAGAGGCAGGCAACGAGGTGTTGAAGAGCGTGATCCCAATCCGAGCATACATGATGACAATGAGGGACAGAGGGGCCAGGTAGATGTTGGCAAAGAGCACGGTTGTATAGATCTTCCTCATGTCCTGGTTCGGCCAGTCCTCCCGGCACCAGTATATGGGGCTGGTTCTGTTGCCATAACCGAGCAACACTCGGAAATGCCGGGATTCTTCCACCTTCAACATCACGGCAGACGGGCACATGATGGCAATGGCCAGGACCCAGATGACAACTATGATGACAACCGCTGTCCAGATGGTGAGCTTCTGCTTGAAAGGGTAAACAATGGAGCGGAACCTGCGAGGAAGAGATAAAAACACCTCTAAGTCCATAAACAGACAATTCTGCATGTCTTATATTCTCAACGTGTCTCCTCGGTGGAAAATAGGAAGTTGCCATATATTGATGCACCTAGTTTGGTACTGTCTACATTGATTGACAGTGTCTCTCTGGGATTTCGGACAAATAGGGGACATTCTCAGCCTTACCTGGAGATGCCAGGAATTGAATCTAGGACCTTCTGTATGCAAAACAGATGCTTTAGCAATGAATTAGAGTCCTTCCCTTATTCAGGCAGCAAAAAGGAGGAGCGGGACAGTGATCAGTACAGGTCCTCTCCACCTACCAAAGTGTTCCATGCTGTTGAAGACTCTGTACCGTACCCAGCCAGTAAGAACAGTATTATCTCATCCACTGGGTACTTTGTAGGCTGCAGGAAGAAGAATTTGTTGAAGCATTCTAGCTATTTTCCAAAGGAAGATCTATCAGTTGAAAGTGAGGTTCAGCCCGCATGTGTTTGTGTGGAATCCCAAACATCAAGGAAGGAATTCAATGCCACCCTGTCACAAAAGTTCTGACAGTGCACAATTGCTCCTCTCCTCCTTCCATCATCCACTGTTCTGTGAGTTCTGCTGACCACTGCCAATTGAAGGGAATAGGGTACCGGGGAAGGAGAGAAGGGAAAGCAGGAAGTGAGCTTCCACTAGCAGGACCAATTAGTTGAATCCAGTCCTAGGAATCTGCCCTTGAGTGGGTGGTTTATCGTATGGGTTATTTCCATTTATTTATTTTGGGGCATTTGTATTCTGTCTATTAGCGTTTCCAGGCCCATTAGCCTAGGATCATAAAACAATGATCACTAAAATGGCAGATTTTTATTTTGAAAAAAGAAGAATACAAGAAGATGCTATGAAGTTAACAGAACCTGGAAAATATTAATAATAAAGGTTATTGTGGCCAGTACTGAAAATTATTCAGTCAGGTTGGTGTGAGGGAAATTGGAGTAGGCTCTGCTTTCAGCAAATATAAAAACCAGAGGAAGAGAGGGGTGTGAAGAAGCCACACTTCTTCTTAACACAGCGCTAAATCATGGTTTTGTGCATGGGTAGCCAATATGGTACTCTTTAGAGGTTGTTGGACTACAGCACCCATCCATCTCAGCCAGCATGGCCAATTGCCAGAAACTATGTGAGAGTTGTCTCCTTCATGGATCCCTGCCTTGTCATGTCTTAATGAGGGTGAAAAAAGGAGAGCGCAAAATATGGCCTGAAGCTCAACATCAAAAAAACTAAGACCATGGCCACTGGTCCCATCACCTCCTGGCAAATAGAAGGGGAAGAAATGGAGGCAGTGAGAGATTTGACTTTCTTGGCTTCGCTGCAGATGGCGACAGCAATCACGAAATTAAAAGACGTCTGCTTCTTGGGAGAAAAGCAATGACAAACCTAGACAGCATCTTAAAAGCAGAAACATCACCTTGCCGACAAAGGTCCGTTAGTTAAAGGCATGGTTTTCCCAGTAGTGATATATGGAAGTGACAGCTGGACCATAAAAAAGGCTGATCGCAGAAGAATTGATGCTTTTGAATTATGATGCTGGAGAAGAGTCTTGAGAGTCCCATGGACTGCAAGAAGATCAAACCTATCCATTCTTAAGGAAATCAGCCCTGAGTGCTCACTGGAAGGACAGATCCTGAAGCTGAGACGCCAATACTTTGGCGACCTCATGAGAAGACTCCCTGGAAAAGACCCTGGTGTTGGGAAAGATTGAGGGCAGAAGGAGAGGGGACGACAGAGGACGAGATGGTTGGACAGTGTTTTTGAAGCTACTAACATGAGTTTGACCAAGCTGTGGGTGGCAGTGGAAGACAGGAGTGCCTGGCGTGCTCTGGTCCATGGGGTCACGAAGAGTCGGCCATGACTAAACGACTAAACAACAATGTGGGAGTTGAAGTCTCACAACTTCTGAAGGACATCACATTGGTTGGCCTGGGTTTAGCACTACATCAAAGATGAGACACAGACTCAGACCATTGGACCATCTAGCCCAGAACTTCCTGCTCTGATTGGACAAGCTACCATGGCTGGTTTATTTAATTTATTTATCAATTTCTCTCTCACCCTCCTCCCAGCCTTGTTCTTGGATACATGTCTTTCCAAGCTGGTATGTGATTAGAGGAAGAGCTGTGATGGCGCATCAGGCTCGCATACAGAAGGTCCCAGTTTAATCCCCAGCATCTCCAGGTAGGCCTGGGAATGTCCTCTGCCTGAAACCTCAACGAGCCAATGCAAACCAGCATGGAACAATGGTCTGATTCAGTATAAGGCAACTTCCTATGTTCCGATGTAGAAATGTCACAGGTGGAGCCTAAGACCTCATGAGCTGCATCCTGATGCTAAGGCTCCTTAGTCATAAACTCTGTGTCCTGCTAAACTGTGCATTAACTCTGATAGGCCTGGAATCCCCACCTCTTCTCTCTCTCTGCCTCTTTTCCCGTAAAGCTTGAATCACAATAGGTTTGTGGAGGAAGTCTCTCACACTAGTCGAAAGAAGGCCACAAACCCCCACATGTTCTGAAAAGCTCCTTCACAGAGCAACAGGCTCACCACTGCATAATTGTGCTGTCTTGTCCCACCGGATTTCTTCCTGACGCTACTGCACAAGGGCATAATTGCACAATAACTGAAGAGGCTTACAAAGACAATTGGACAATTGGTACGACTGGCATTTTATGTGTTCTGTATCAATTTCCAGGCTGTTACAGAGACATACCTGTCGACTGCAATTGCCACTAAAGTGAAGACAGAAGCCGAGACAGATATCCCTGGACCATTCCGTTCATCTTGCAGGCAATATTCCCAAAGGGCCATCCTGGAGTTTGAAAAGAAAATGGTTTTCAGATATTGAAACTGCTTTCATAGCATATCAAAAGGAAAAGACACATTGGGGTTAAACTGGGTGCTTGTCAGGTATGTTTAAACCTGACAATGAAGTTGAGGGTGAGAGGGTCTTTTAGTTCCCACTAAAATCAATTCAACAAAATTTTACTATGAACCACAGAAATTAATGAACCCAACTTGTGGATTATTGCATTAGTTCTCCTAGTTGAAGTCCTAGTGCTTCTATCCTGGATTCTAACATTCTTTTTACACTGCAAGACCTGCTGGATTACAAAAGCATGGCTTTTCGATTGATATACCATCATGCTGCATTAGATTTTAAATAGTGGGAAAGAACTCTATGCTGGTGTCAGGGAACTGACATTGGAGCTAGAGGTGGAGGGGAGGCTCTCTAATGATGCTGGAGAAGGGCCCAGCAGGGAGAGAGGCAGCTCAGCAGATGGGGAAGCAATTCAGTGCAACACCAGGAATAAGGAGGGGCAGATGGGGGAATCGGAGAGAGGGCTCCCAGACTCTTCACCGGACACCAGCGGGGAGAGCACTGGTCCTCCGCTACCCACGCCCTCCCTGCACAGAAGACTTCCGCGCAGAGAAAGTAGGAGGAGACTGGGTGTCAAACAACTTTTATGTTGGAAAAGGTTTAAGAAACGCCCACTGACGGATTCTGCTAGCGAGTGAGGCAGGCACGAATTGAAGGGCTGTCCAGACAGAAAGGTTTAACAAGGCAACATAGCCAGGAGAGGCGGCAACTTACGCACGAGCAACCCCATACCATTATAGCTGGAATACTACTGGAATTTTTTTTTCATCATGTGAAATTACACTGCAGCACTCAGATGATTTTCCAGGCTAATGGGGCTGCAAATGGTTTTTTTCATGGAAGTAAATAATACAAAAATGAATGCTAAATTTCCACTAGTTTTCCAGAGGTGCCTTTTATGCTGTGTGAAAAAGCACATTAAAAATGCAAATTATCAGGTAAGGAAATGCCAGGAAAATGAAATAAAGTGCTGTCTAAATGCAGCCTGTGTCAGATTCATTACTTTCAATGGATCTACTATGCATTAAGTCATGACTAGTTTGTGCCACTGTTTTCAAGAGTCTGTTTTAAGTATGACTTAGTTCAGGGATGGGAATCTGTGGCCCTCCAGATGTTGTTGGACTCCAATTCCCAACAGCCCTAGCTGATATGGCCAGTGGTTAGTGATGATGGGAATGGGAATCCAGCAAAACCTGGAGGACAACACAATTCTCACCCTGACTTAGGTTTGGAATGCTGGTCATGGTTTGCTATGAGTATGACGTTGTTCATGGTGGGAAAGTTATGGACCTCCAGATGTTGCTGGACTCCAACTCCCATCATCCCCGGCCAGAATGGCCAATGGTCAGGGATGGATCTGAGTATGATGTTGTCCATGGATGGGAATCTATGGCCCTACAGATATTGCTGGACTCCCAACCCCCATCAGCCCTAGCCAGCATGGCCAATGATCAGTGGTGGTTCCTCTTCCATGACTTCATTGGATACAAGCTAGAGACAAGATTTACCTGATATGATGTTATCCACTAAGGTAGTGGGCATGCAAAATATCCCCACCAGCAGGTCACTGACAGCAAGGTTCAGGATGAAGAGGTTGGTGACAGTGCGCATATGTTTGCTCCTCAGCACGATAAAACACACCACTCCATTGCCAATCATGCACAGGAGGAAGATGAGAAGGTAGGAGATGATGAAGACTGCAGCCACGAGCGGCTGATGGAGGTAGAAACCCACATAGGAAATGTTGGTCTCCATGTTGCAGCTGCTTATATGTCCACTGCAATTTCTCACGGGAGGTCTGCTGACTGAAGGACTGGAGTCCAGGTTCTTGTCCATGTTAAAAGTGCGCTTGACTGCGGAAATCAGACAATTGAAAAATGGAGTCAGTGAGGAAAGGGAATGCATCTTGGAAGTCTAAAATGTGTCTTGTAACTAGTATGATAAGATGGTATACCCTATAAAATATCAGAACACCATAAGATAAGATGAACCCTGCTGGGTCAAGCCAATAGCCCATCTAGTCCAGATTTCTGTTCTCACAGCGGCCAACCAGATGCCCATGGGAAGCCCATGGTGGTTCTTGGAGGCACAGCATAGCCTCCATTTTGGCTAATAGCCAATGATAGTTGTATCCTTTTTGAATTTGCCTAATCCTCTTTTTAAAATTGGTTTTTATAAAGCAAAGTGATAAAACAAGTGCTCAAGGAAACAATTGCTTTATTGTTGCAAAGGACTTGATTTGACAAATATCTCAGCATTTTGGGCTTACCTTCAAAATAGCCATGTCAGGTTTCATTTTACTTATAACTTCCAAATAATGGAATTATATCCACTGGGGTCTTGCCTGAGGTTTGCAATTGGCACATCAAGTCGGGGCTTTCACATCTGAAATTTATTGAAACATTCCTCTGCAAGTTCACTAGTAAAAGGATACTAGGAACAGCTTCATTTTGGTTTAATAGAGGTGGAGATACCTTTCTAGTCTTGACCGAAACCATCATACATTTTAGCCTGTACAAGTATTTATTACAATTCAAGTGTTGAATTTGCCAGAGGGCACATGCCCTTTATTATACTGCTGAGTTGCCAGTATATGGTGAATTGAAATAAGGCATATTATGAGATATTCAGTGTTGGGTATCCTTGCAGTAGCAGCGTAGACCCTTTGAAATCAAAATACTTGAGTGTCAGAGATTCTACCACAAGTATGACTAACATTGGATATCACCTACTGTATTCACATTTAATATACTGCCAAAGTTGTCCACTGTAAGGGGAAAGGTCCAATAAAGTAAGGATTGTGCTATAAAAAATAAAACAAAAAATTGGTTTTTATTAAAGATTTACTTGTGTTACAAAACAAACAAACAAGAAAAAGTATATATAGTATATATAGTTGAATTGCCTGTTCCGGTTGCAGATGGAGTAAGCAGCAGAAACTGAGAGCTCCCGGAGAAAATATTTTAAAAGACGGACCTTTTCAGCAACCAAAGGCGGGAGAGGTCATTAAAAAACTGAAGGAAACCTGCTGTGAACTTTTAATGCAGTCGAGTGAGTATAACTCCCTAAAGGAAAAGAATGTGACTAGAGAGAAATCCTTGGGAGGAAAGAAAAATTGCTTACCTGATAAGGGCCGGGGGAGGCCTTGGAACCTCTCCCTTTTACCCAAAACTGACTTGCGGAGAGCCCTGCGACGGAGCTAATGATTCTATTTTAGTTTAATTAAGTTTTTAATTCAAAGTTTTAAGGTACTGAGACCCTGAAAGAAGACATATATATATATATATATATATATATATATATATATTTAAAATCCTTTTTAAGCATCTTGATTATTACCAGGGGAGCACCAGAGCCTCTGCGGTAATCACTTTGCAGCAATTGAAGAAGTAAACTCACCCCTGCTTCTCCACAACGTTGTCTTTCTTCTCTTTTACAACTACCTCTTATCTGTTTATCTCAGTCAACGCAATCTAGCATGTTTATTACAACAATAAAGAAATAATTTACAACTTTAAAGAAACAATGGTGATGACCAGGAGTGGCTGCAAAACCTCAGGCTTTTCTCTGAAAGCTGTAAGACCCACCTTTAAAAGAGCCACTCTAAAGAAAGCACAAACAAAAATCACTCGCTTCTACATGAATAGAGCAAAATGTGGAACAAATGAGGAAACGACTGAAATGACTGAAATGAATGAGAACAAGAACAAGAAGGGAAGGGAAATTCTACTCTCTCCTACCAATCTCTCTTACAGCTATAGTGAAGGACCAGCTATGCAAAGAAAGGAGTGTACTAAAAGCAGTGATAAAAGCCTGAATATATTGGAAGCAACACAAAATATCCTCAATACAGCCGATGAAGCATCCCTGAAACTGAAAGCCAAATCCCAAGTTCCTCTCGAGCCATCGTTAGATCAAAAAATGGAGGAACTAATGTTAAAACAAATTTCGGAATTGGCCTCGGAAATATTAAACCTTCGAAAGACTCTTATTCTCATTCCCACAAGACAAATGAAGAGGGTCTCTCAATCATCAAATGGCTAGTGCTCCTTACTGAGGACATTGAATCCATAAAGTCCTACTTGGACATTTACACAAAAACTCTTACCATCATGGCTGACTCCTGTAAAACACTCTGGAGAAAACCCGGAATGCCTGCAGAATTGGAAAGTAATCATGGCCTCGCCTCCACCCTTTGTAGGAGTGGCTCATCAAGGAAGGGTAAGAAAGCCTGTAGAGCTAATGCTTGTAAAAGGAGATTCATAGTTGTAAAAAATGTTTAAAAAAGTAAAAACATAAAAAAATTTAAGACAGTGTATTATAAAAAAATGGTTTTTAAAAAGCTTTTTAACCTACTCGAGAGCACAACAGCCTCTGGCACTAGAGGGAACCCGGTGAAGTCTTTAGCCAAGAAGTCAGTTAAACAGGATTCGCCCCCAAACGTCTGTGCTGATAAAGCCCCGGATTGTCTAAAACCTTCAGTGCTTGCTCCACCACCAAGCTCTAAGCAAGATTTATTGCCCCAAGATCCATGGTCCTACGTTTTAACCATAGATAACTCCAAATCCAATAAGGAGAGCATTCCAACAAATAAGAACTGGAAGCTGGTGTTGCTTCAAAACAAACTTGTTTTTTCAAGCTATCCTAAGCCTCCAGGATTTTTATCTCAAGAGGATCGCAAAGTCCATCTACTGAACTTCCTTAAGGCATACATGCCAGGTACTTTGAGTAATCCCTCGGAGTTGGTCCAAGTGGAATATCTATATTTTGATGGCTTGCTTGCCAGAGCGGTGGCTACATTCCATGATCGGAGACTGGCAAAACTGATATGTAAACATAGAGAGCACCTAAAGACAAGTGGTGTAAAAATATCAAGGTTCTTTAAAAATGAGGCCTCTCCTATCCCACTAGTCCCCAGTTCTGCAACTTCGACTGCAGCACCTCATCAAAAGGCTGAATACCACACTTTAATTGATATAAAAGCCACTGAGGACTCACCTAATCACCACCCAGAGTTACTTACTAATGATTCTCAAATACCAGACTCTCCCGGGACTTTATATGAGACGAGTCAAGGTAACAGGTTCGAAAGTTTTGAAAATAACTTAATTTACTCCTATTGCGCTCTCCCTCAAGAAACTCAGAACAAAATACTCTATAGACTGAATAACCTTCGCTCTTGTCTGACAAATCTGACCAAGGACCAACCGGGACCACACAACCAAATATATAGTATAACACTGCAACTGCAAGACAAATTACGGGACACTCCAATACCCTGGCTGATCCACCACCAACTAGTGTACAAGTCTTCTTCGACAACCCAGCAACATCAGGCCATTGACTAACTTCGAGAAACTCCTCCTAACAACAGAGGAACAGAGCAAAGGGGTGGTATCTACATTATATAAAATACTACTTCAAGACAGTACAGCCCCCCCCCTAATTAAAGATCAATGGGAGCATGACATGGGATACAAAATAAATTCTGTCCAATGGTCAAAAATGTGCTTCAAACTACCATTTAAATCTATCTCAGCCAAAAGAAGATAATTCACTCTGAAACTTATCTATAGATGGTACCTAACACCATGGAAGCCGGCACTGATGCATCCAGGAACCTCAGCTAAATGCTGAAGAAGCTGCACCTCCATAGGCACATACCTCCAAATGTGGTGAGAATGCCCCTAAGTTCATTCTTTTTGGGTATCAGTGTTGCAGGAAACCTCCAGAATAACAAAACAGGTAATAGAAGCAACTCTAGAACTAGCCCTATTAAATATCCTCCAGGACAACAACACACATGCACATGACAAGACCTCTCAGGAGCAAACATAGACCACTGGTACCAAAATGTATGGGAAACTGCCCTACTGGAAAAGTTAATCAACAAACTTTTACTAGCACGGGGTCAAGCAAAGGAGGATTCCTTCACCCTGGAATGGGTGGAAAAGAGAGGGGAAAAGAGAGGACCCAAATAATTACCGCCCAGTCAGTCTGACATCAATACCAGGGAAGATTCTGGAGCAGATCATTAAGCAAACAGTCTGTGAGCACCTAGAAAGGAATGCTGTGATCACCAATAGTCAGCATGGATTTCTGAAAAATAAGTCATGTCAGACTAACCTGATCTCGTTTTTGACAGAATTACAAGCCTGCTAGATGAAGGGATCGCAGTGGATGTAGCCTACCTTGATTTCAGCAAGGCATTTGACAAGGTGCCTCATAATATTCTTGTAAAGAAGCTGGTAAAATGTGGTCTTGACTATGCTACCACTCAGTGGATTTGTAACTGGCTGACTGGACCGAACCCAAAGGGTGCTCATCAATGGTTCCTCTTCATCCTGGAGAAGAGTGACTAGTGGGGTGCCACAGGGTTCTGTCTTGGGCCCGGTCTTATTCAACATCTTTATCAACGACTTGGATGATGGACTCAAGGGCATCCTGATCAAATTTGCAGATGACACCAAATTGGGAGGGGTGGCTAACACCCCAGAGGACAGGATCACACTTCAAAACGACCTTGACAGATTAGAGAACTGGGCCAAAACAAACAAGATGAATTTTAACAGGGAGAAATGTAAAGTATTGCACTTGGGCAAAAAAATGAGAGGCACAAATACAAGATGGGGACACCTGGCTTGACAGCAGTACATGTGAAAAGGATCTAGGAGTCTTGGTTGACCACAAACTTGACATGAGCCAACAGTGTGACGCGGCAGCTAAAAAGCCAATGCAATTCTGGGCTGCATCAATAGGAGTATAGCATCTAGATCAAAGGGAAGTAATAGTGCCACTGTATTCTGCTCTGGTCAGACCTCACCTGGAGTACTGTG